GCAACTCATGGGGTCCGCTATGGTGCCGGTGTCGCTCTGGCTACAGCGCAACTGCGTTCAGGGCACGAGCTACGTCACCTAGAACCTGGTTTTACGAACACTGATCGGCTGGAAGATCAAGGGGACCAAATTGGAGACTTCACTGATGCTGCCGAGGTTATCATAGTTATCATCCATGCAGAAGATGGTGTAAACAATGTTTTCCTAGAACCATAGATTATATCTAGGGTCTTATAAGTAAAGAATATACTATTTCAATGTCACTTTTGATCCTATGTCTTTTATTGTTATTTTTTATTCTAAAGGCAATACTCTAGGTGTCAGCTATTTTGAGCCGATGAGACTCAGCTATCAAGCATCGACCCAAATACTTGGGTAGTACTTCTTTACATATTTTCCATTAAGAAATACGCGATAACAGATCTGTATCATACAGCGATTTGCACATACAAAGCAACAGATCTGCATCACGATCCTCTGAGGTACAAAGATCATGGAATCTAAAGAACGACGCGGCACATCGCAAAACTTCACCCTTAGTGAGGTGCTCTACCTTCCATCTTGCAACCCTCATGGTTAAGGGATATGATCTGCTTTTTGACCATGAGAGTTGCAAGATGGAATATAAGCACCCAATCTTGAAGGACGAGCACCTCTCAAACTTGAAGCACCCCAATCGAGTATGGAGCCCTTGAATATGAGAGAACCAGATGATTGCAGATCTTCTGTTAACACAAGATCTGCAAGAAGATCTGCAATCATCAAGGTCAAGCTCATGTTCAACAGCATCACGTTGTAAACGATGGAGAAGGAGCAGCTCACAAAACTTGCACCAGCATCTTAGTGAGGTGCTTTATATTCCATAATCTTGCTACCTTTGAGGATCAAGGGATGCAAATCTGCATCTCGATCCTGAAAGGCAACAAGATTATGAAATCTAAAGCACCTAATCTTGAACGCCTTCTCCAAACACTAGCATCCCTATGAGGTGCTTTATCTCCATCTTGAGGCCGTGAGAGGTGCAAGGATAAAGACAAAGCACTTCTTGGCGATGAGGAAAGATACAGTAGCTTACGAGTGTGTGGATTCAAGAATGTGTGGATTGAGACCAAGAGGTGTATCCAGACCCTAGTTAAATAGGCCAACCTTGAAGATGGAGAAGTGCAAGTAATGGAGATGCAACTGTGTTGTGGGTAGTTGGGAAATAACTCACGCTAACTTCACCACCACTAGACCAAACAGTCATGGAGGGCCGGCGGCCATAACACATATCCCAGTTAGCTCGGCTTTTCATACAACTGAGAAAATATCACTGCCACATCTATTGTTAACCCGTCGGTGGAAGTATAACACCGTCACTTCTATCACTACGACGATGAAAGTGGCGATAGTGAAAGATCAATCTGTAGCAGTGAATCTTGCTTTGCCAGATCATTTGAGATTCGTCCCCTACGCCAAATTTGAACCCCTTTGTTTGTCACCTGCACGGTAAGCTCTTTCCCTTTCCTCGCGCCATGCTCTCAACTCCTGCTCCCAAATCCACCGCCCGTGGCCGATCCTCTGCTCTTCCCACCCCAAGATGCTTTATCAAGTTGAGGAAACCAAAAATTTCTCCTTTCTTGGTACTTTTGTTCATCTCCTTTTCCCCTTCTCCACCATGGATGCCATCAGTCCCATCACCTCGGATCCGCCACCCATCGTTCCCAAGCTGCTAGATCCTTCCTTTTTGCCCTCACCTCCTCATCTGCATCATGTAGCCTCGCCGCCATCACCTCTGTTCCTATCCCAAGCGGAGGGTGCGGGTCTCTCTCTCATCTCCATCTCGCTCGCTACTGTAGTCGGCAAAGCCGCACTTCAGCCATGGCCGTCGAGTAGTGCTCCCCGCAGCCGCTACTCCCTTTGTTCTGGCCCTTCTCCACCCTCATCAAGCATCTCCCTCTCTTCCTCGTGCCACGTCACCCCTCCCGCACCTCATTCCTGGCTCTATCGCCGCCTGCTGGCCCGAGCTGCCAAAGCAGCTACCGCTGCAAGCCATTCGCCTCCTTGGCTACCAGCCTCTAGGCCATCACCGGCCGATCTGCGCCCCTTGGCTCATGCGCCTGCTAGTAAGGAAGTTGCGCTGCCACTCTCCCCCGCTGCCATCCAGCACGCCAATTTCTATATTCCATTTTGGTCCTGGTGTCCTCTCCTCTGCACCATCGCTGCCCCGATTCCCCGACTTGGGCATGCTGCGGACCTCGGCTGGGACTCCAACCACCGCTCTGACCATGGCGGTTGTGGACTTCATCTCCGCCTTCACCATCTCCTCCTCCTCCTCCTCCTGCCTGCTCTCCCCGCTCTGTCTTCGACCCCACGCAAGCTAGGATTAGATCCACCTTTCCTCTCCATCAATGAGGAGGGCTAGATCTCCTTCTCCGATCCTATGCCTACGCTGCAGGCCAATCGTCCAGCTCAGGCTCAAGGTGCCCAACATGATGGACTGCGGACTATGCCTGCTGCTGTGCCTCTCCAAGACCACCCAGACACTGATACTCAGGCTCCCGCGCTAGCCTCCAAGGTGCCAAGGGCACCATGAGTATGGTCACATGGAACTGTCGAGGCTCAGGCGGGAGCCTACGCAGTTCCAAGATGACACACCTAGCCCGCCTAATTAGCTTGACTAATGTATAGGTATGCTTCATTTCAGAAACTAGAAACTCTTCCATCAAACGAACTACGCTTATAAATTGTTTTAGTTCCTTTGATGCTCTTGTAGTTCCATCTCAAGGCCAATCTGGTGGCCTTTGGCTTATCTGGAATAATGAAGTTAATCTTATAGTAGTAGATCACTCCCACCCTTATATCTTCGCTTTGTGTACAAGCAGTCTTTAGTTCACAACAGTTTGGTCTAGTTTGCATCTACGGTGACCCTCATCACCGAGCTACCAATGCCATATGGAATCAAGTGCTTAATTTTGTTGAAAATAATAGCAACTTGCCTATAATATGTATGGGAGATATAAACCATATCATGCATGTCAACGAAAAATTAGGTCCTGGTAGACCTGATGTACGTCGTATTAATGCTTTTTGTGATCATTTGAAGTAGTGTGGTTTTATTGATTTGGGGTACAGCGGACCAACTTACACCAGGACCAACAAGAGATTCACCACAATTCTGAAGTTTCAGCGCTTTGATTGATGTCTTGCCAATGCAGAATGGTGTATGGCTCACCCTGCGACTACCGTCTACCATCTCCCCATGCTCCGTAGCGACCATGCTCCAATCCTCACTATTCTTAATTCTGCGAGAAGGCGCATTAACAAACCTCTTTAATTCGAGAATTGGTGGATCAGAGAGCAGGATTATCAAATGGTGGCTCAGCAAAGCTGGAGCCGTTCGGCTTCAAGACCCTTCATCCACAAAACCAAGTATTTGGCTTCGGATTTGTGCAAATGGCGTAAAACCAATCCAAAACTGTCCAACCAACTTGCGACTGTTGAAGATCAACTTTTGTAGGAGCAGTCAAAACCTCCTCAATAGCAAGACTTTGATCTCCAAAACCACCTGACTCACCAGCACCACCAAATCCTCCTTAAAGATGAAGAATTTCACCTACAGCGAGCCAAGAAAAATTGGGCTACTCAAGGAGACTGCAACACCACCTTCTTCCATCTTTCTATCACCAAAAGAAATAGAAAAAATAGGATCTCTTACCTGCTGAACCCTGATGGCTCCCACTCCACTACCCCTGACCAATTAGCTGACACTCTCACAACTTATTTTCATAACATTTTTAGCTCCCAAGCTCCTAGTGGCCATCAGAGCTATATTACTAATTCTATTAATGCCTCTGTTGCTAACCATACCCATGCAGGCTTCACAGATCCATATGCTCACGACGACAACTACACCAATTCAATCCTAAACGTACATGAGTTACACACCATTATAAAAAATATGCGCAGCAATGCCTCTCCAGGACCTAACGGTCTAAATGCGGCATTCTGCAAGTCGGCTTGGCCTTGATATCTCAGGATGTCCACACCCTGGTACGCGACTTCTATACCTCAGCATTTCTTCAACCTTGAGTTGAATCAAACTTTTCTTGTCCTCATCCCTAAGAAAATGCAACCTGTTTTGCCGCAAGACTTCAGGCCTATTAGTCTTTGTAATGTTATTTATAAGGTTATAGCTAAATCTCTGGCTGATAGACTGAAGCCTCACCTTCCCAACTACATTGATCATTCACATGCTGCTTTCATCAAGAATAGGCACATTTCTTCCAACATTGTCATTACCTAGGAAATCATCCACTCTTTCACTCTTAAGACTTGGATCCAGCAAGCTTTCCTCCTCAAGCTTGACCTTGCCAAAGCGTTTGATCGCCTTGATTGGGACTTCACTGCTACTGCCCTCAACCGTCTAGGGTTACAATCCAATTTTATTCGTCTAATTCAGGCATGCATCTCCACTCCTAATTTCTCTATCCTTGTCAATAGTGAGCCACGGCTACTTTCTCTCCTTAGCGTGGTATTCGCTAAGGCTTCCCCCTTTCGCCCTACCTTTTTGTGGTCGCAATTAATGAGCTTTCTATCCGTTTGTGTAATGCCCTCCTCAACTCCGGCCTTTCTGGAATTACTTTTGGCCTTGGGTGCCCTCCTATCCACTCACTTCTCTTTGCCTATGATCTCATCCTTTGTGGCGCCGCCTCGGTGCATGAGGCTGGCAGGCTCTCACAGACTCTGATTCACACATTTTAAATTTAGAGTCTTTCTGTTGCTACAGCCATCATGTAAACCAATACCCACAGGCATTGCAATCTGTACACCTGAACTATGTAAGATTACTATCAGCGAGATGCTGTTGAAATAAAATCGTTTGTTGTGGCTACCAAGCCCACCAAAGCCCATTTGATTTGGTCAATTGCTTTCATGGTCTGTTCTGGCGAGAACATTGGTCGAGATCGCATAAGCCTAACAACCCCTACTTGCAAATCCTTTTCCCAAATCCCACACCTATGGCGATCGGCGGCGGCGGGAGCTGGAGTATCCACGGCCGCGCTGATGTCACATCCCGCTACGAGGTCCTCGGCCCCGCGGGCTCTGGCGCCTACGCTGATGTCTACCGCGGCCGCCGCCGATCCGACGGTGCCGCTGTCGCGCTCAAGGAGGTCCACGACGCCGTCAGCGCTCGCCGCGAGGCCGAGGCTCTCCTCGCCATTCCCCCTTCCCCCAACGTCGTCACACTCATCGACCACTTCCCCGGCGGCGACTGCGACGACGATGTCCTCGTCCTTGAGTGGCTCCCGCTCGACCTCGCCGCCGTTGTGCGTGACGCGAGGAGGCGCGCGGGCGGGGGCGAGGGACCGGGAGGCATCCCCGCCTCGCAACTCAAACGGTGGATGCTGCAGGTGCTTGAGGGCGTCGCCGCGTGCCACCGCGCCGGTGTCGTGCACCGCGACCTGAAGCCTGAGAACCTGCTCATCTCCGAAGACGGGGTGCTCAAAGTCGCCGATTTTGGTCAGGTTAACATCTTTGAACCTTAATTAGCCTCAATTCGTCGGTTGAAGTGGTGTCTTTAGTGAGTATGCGGCTTAGGAAGGTTTGTAGATTTGAGGTAACTAGTGTTTGCATGTGAATCGTCTGTTTTCACTCAGTAGTAGTGACATTGTTCAACTGGTATATATCTGTTGATAATTAATGGTGGGGATAATGTTACGCAAACTCTATCACGCGACGCGTCGCGCGACGACGCGCCGTATGCGTCTTCTTCCGCACGCCCCTCTCCCTCTTCCTCCCTCTCCCACGCGACCTCGCCCACGTGCCCGCGCCTCGACGGAGAGGAAGAAGACGACGGCGGTGGTTAGGGTTCCGGCGACCTTAGAAGAGGGTTCGGGGGGAGGTGGCCGCGACACGGCGGTGGTGGCAGGTTGAAGGGTGGCGAGCGAGGCGGCGTGGGCACCGCCGAGCGGGCGGCAGGGGACAACCGGTTGGGTGGGGCCGGCACGGCAGAGCTCGCCGGCACTCTGCCCTGGGATTAGGGTGGGCGGGTTGAGGGTGGCGCAGCGAGGCGGCTCGCCGCCGGCCGCCGGGGGCGTGGACGAGGACGTTGGAGCTCGCCGGCGCCCTGAGATTAGGGGAGGCGGCGCGGAGCGGCGGGGGCGGGAGGTGGGTAGCGCGGCCAACGGCGTGGCTGCTGCTGGCCGGGGTGGCAAGGGAGGAGGCGGGGGTGGTGGAGGAACGGTGCGTCACGGCGGTGTCGGGAGTTTGAAGACGGGTCACGTGCTCCTTCAGCGCGCAACCCGTCGCGCGATAACTCCGTCCATAATGTTAACTTGATCTGTACAGGATATGTTGAATTTGCTGGATTGATGTGAATTTCATATTTCTTTCCCCTGTTATGGCGGTTGTTAAACATCAAAGTGAGATACTCTGCAGTCTCCAACAATGTTTCTAGCTAGCTCCTGCAGATAGGTACAACTGGTTAGTTTTCAGTTAGGGTCATCACTTGAGAAACATACTTGTATTTCAGCAAAAAGTTCACTTGAGCGGAAACATTGCTATAATGTTAGGATAGGAATTGGGGAAGGTAGACAGCAGGAGGATAGGTTTAGACGAATTTACTTCAGAGGTCAAGTTACAATCGAGTTCTCAATAATATTTTTCTTTTTCCTCTCCTCTAACTCAACTCTCGCTAAATAGTTCTTCCTCGGAGCACGCGTGCACCGTATCTGTTATGCCACCCAGTTGGGACCCTTCGTGCGCCCGCACGGCCGTCTGGCCCTTGTCCCCCTTCGTGCCCCTTCTGGTGTACAGTAGAGGTGTCGATGCTGCTGCTAACATATAACTGGGCACCTTAGTTATAAAAAAGAAAAGCACCTGGTTACCTTATATGTTGCAGAGAGGACTAGTTTTATAACCTAGAAATTAGTGGTTTACGAACTGAAATTTGCTAATAGTTACCAATGATAACTATTCAATACTTGTAATTCAAAGTGTTAAGTGTTCATTTTCCAATAGGATTTGAATATTTGCTTCTTTACATTTTGGGTAGCTGCAAGATATTGCATACGATTAATAAAATGTTGATGCAGCTGTATACCATACTTAAGGTATAGTCTTGCAGAGATGTATTTGATTTCCATATGATATAATGGCCTTTGGATAAATGACTTATAAGTTATAACTAATGATAAACAATTTATGTGTATGGAGGGACATGGTTGTGGAATGACAAAAGGTTATGCATTTGTAGAGATGGAACGATTATTTAAAGTTTTATAAGTTGGTCATGTGAATTAGCCCTTCCTAATTACATTCCAGAATAATTGTTCCTAGGTTAAAGTTAAATATTGGTATATTATTTATATTTGGTTAATCAATCTCAAGCTTTGTTATTTATATCGGTATATTATTTGTAGAGATTGCTAGATACTTAAGCTTGAGATTGATTACAACAACAACAACAACAACAATAAAGGCTTTGTTGTTGTTGTTGTTATTGTTGTTGTAATCAATCTCAAGCTTAAGTATCTAGCAATCTGATTGGAGGCTTCATGTATTGTGTGCACATGTATATTGTTAGACAGGAATATGTTATGTGTGCGTGTGGGTCCAGCGCTAGGCTGTTATAGCCGGCCAGCCCTTGATTGATTTGGTAGAGAGATTTGAGGAGATCTTGATTGGTGCTATTTCTATAAACCTCAAGATCTCCTCCCACTATCCTCTCTCAATCAATCAATCAATCTACTATTCCACACAATCTCATTTGCTTTCATATATAAGTAACGGAATGATAATTGGTTGATTACATCTATACTGTGACTGACGTGCAATGCTGTGTATGGAGTAACAAAATGGGTAATTAGAGAGATTGGATTCTGCAGCTTTTGTCTGGATTTATTACTTCCTCTGTTTTCGAATAATTGACAACTGTTTTACCAAAATATGTGTTTGCAAATACTTGCCATCCCTTGCTTCCCAATGTGAATTTTCTAACTTCATCCTATCTTGCCTGACACTACCCAGGGGGAAAATAGATAATGAGCATGCGGTAACAATTCCATATTGACCCGAATCAAAGTTAGAATTGAATGCCATGCCCTAAAGAAAGAAAGTGAATTCAAATCTACGTGAATCACGAAAGAAGCAAAGCCGTAACTTAAGTTTGACAACTTGGAAAGATGGCCCAGCCAATGTTAATGATTCTTTTATCCGGGATAACTTGCTGGGAATTCACTAGAGCTCCTGAATAGATTTCTTGATCTTTTTTTTTAGGAAAACTTTTTTAGTACCCATGGGCCCAACTCAACTTTCTTTGATTTTCTTGCATGATTCAAAGTCCAAAGCAAGAAATTTCTAGAGCCCAAGCCAACTCACATTGTCCTTTGTGCTACACACATACTGTAACAACAATGTAGTTTTGCTCACCAGAGGCAATTTGATCCAAGATTTGTATAAAATAAAAAAGTTGTGCACAAAAATTAAATTTCACAAAACGTCAAACTTTATTTAGTTTTTTGGTTCCACATTGAAGTAAGTAGTAGTCTTCAAGTGTCAATGAGCATGGCTATAGTGGTGGAGATTCAAAGATTTTGTTTGCTGAGCTTCATGCTTGTTTATGAAACAGATTCTCTTTTATAACAAATCATGTAATAGGTTTTGTTTCACTACTTAAATATAAGGCATTATCTTTTCTTTTTCCTTGAACTCCCAAGAGAGCTGCATTTCATCGTATTAAAGAAGAAAAGGTGGTAAGATCCCTTACAAGTGATGGATAAGTCTCTGTGTTGTGTTGGCTGGTCTGGTCTTTGTGGGGTCGCTAGTTGTTGTTGCATCTTCTTTGCCACAAGGACTGTAATGTTATTGTTGTGTTGCCACAAGGATTGTTATTGCTGTCGCCACAAGGACAACATCCTTGACTTGCTAGGACAGCATTTTAGCATCTAGGATTAGCATCTAGGACAACATCTTAGACTAGCATCTTAGCATCTTAGCATCTTAGACTAGCATCTTGGCATATGCTTATGGCTAGCAGACCTATAAATATGTATCCCCAACCCCTCAAAGTTGGCATGGCATTTGTGTGAGTTTGTGTGAGAAATAAACCGTAAAATTGCTCCAACTCCTAGTGTCATCCTCTCTCGATGAGAGTAAGAATTCTCGCTACTACCGAGAGTGAGAGTTCAACGACTAACAACCGGTATCCGAGAGCAGTACTATCCTCAGTAGCTTGAGCATCTCCGCTCATCTCCTCCCAGCCCCACCCAGTGTGTTGTTGGTAAAGCAGCAGCCTCCTCCGCGTCGGCAGCCCCTCTCCCCACGCAGCAGCCTCCCGGTAGCGCGTCATGTCCGCAGGCGATCTCGGCCTCGGTCGCCTCTCGAGCACGCTGTGGCGTCGGAGAGAGGCGAACTTGCCGCGCAGAGAACGCGAGCGAGCGGGAGAACTTGCGCGGCAAGCAGCAGCGGCAAGAGGTCGGGCGTGGCGGAGTGGCGGCGGCGAGGCGGGCAGAGGAGGCGGCGAAGGCGGGCGAGGCAAGTGGTCGAGGTCGAGGCTATGCGCAGTAGCATCGGCAGCTCCATTTTCGCTGACGACACCGCCGACGCGGACCTCGAGCTGCTAGAGAGGGAGGCAACATGAAGCTTGGCGGCGCGCGGGCGCCGCGACGCGCACGCGCGCGTGGCGACCCGCACGGCAGCGCGACGAGCTGGCGGCGCCTCGAGGAGGCGCGCATGGCGGCTCTGGAGGAGCGCGCGCATGGGCGGCGCAGACCTGCACGCCGTGGCGCGCTCCACGTGGAGGCGGGCACGCGGCGGCGGCGCTCTGGAGGAGGCAGCGCTTGACGCGTGGGTGGCGCGGTCGATGGAGGCGGCCTTCACGGCGGCGGGCGCTCCCGGATCGGACGGGTCGATGGAAGCACGGACGCGCAGTGCTGCGTGGCTCTCTCTCCCGAATGGCGGTGGTTACCACGGGCTCCAGTGTCGTTGTCGGGACGTCGGTCCCGACGGTGGGTGGCCTACCCTCACCAAGACCAACTACGTCGAGTGGGCTGCGGTGATGAGGGTAAAGCTCCAGGTGCGGCACATGTGGGAGGCAGTCCGGTACGGCGACGTCGACTACGACCTAGATCGACGGGTGCTGGATGCCCTCATCGCTGCAGTCCTGCCCGAGATGCAGTTCTCGCTTATCAACAAGTGGACTGCCAAGGAGGCTTGGGACGCCATCATCGCTGCGACGCACGCATCGGCAGCGCCTTGCGCCCGCAAGTCCACACCGCAGCACTTCGCAGGAGTGGGAGAACACGCCTTCAAGCCGGTGAGGACGTTGATGACTTTGCTCTCCGTCTCAACACTCTATTGCAGAAGATGGTGCAGTTCAGCGATGACACCTACGGCGAGGAGAGAGCTATCGAAAAGCTCTTTCGCTGCGTCCCCGAGAAGTACAAGTAGATGGCTTGCTCGATCGAGTCCTTGCTGGATCTCTCCACGATGTCGATCGAGGAGGCGATAGGTCGCCTCAAGGTCGTCGGCGATGATGAGCCACAGTCTCTCTCGGGGCCCATCACCACTGGCGGGAAGCTCCTTCTCACTCGGGAGCAGTGGCTTGCCAGCCAAGGTGACCGGAAGAAGGGGGAGCCTTCTTCCGCGACAGGCGGTCGCAAGCGTGGCAAGCCACGCAAGGCGCGCAGAGACGCCCAGGCCGGGGCGCGAGGACGTGCCGAGGGTGATGCCCGCATGAGACGCGCCAGGCGGCGCGCCACGCCGGCAGTAATAAGCTTTAAGACGAGACGACGCCGCCGAATCGCGGCGCCTTTTGGCCATTGGGCCAAGGATCGCGGATACCACGACAGCGCCAGCCCACGTCGCCTGGCGGAGGAGCGGCCTGTTCATGGCACATATAAGCATCAAGCTACCTCCGGTAATGCACCGCCGCAGCGGCTCTCCTCCACCTTGACGAGCCAAAAGCACACGCCTCCTCGGCGGCAGCCGCGCAGCGACAAGATCGGCGGGTGGTGCTCGACACCGGCGCCACCCATCACATGAATGGTCGACGGAGTTCTTCACCGAGCTTGACTCTAGCGCCCGAGGCTCTCCGTCAAGTTTGGGTATGCCTTCGGCGTGGAGATCAAGGGCGTCGGCTCCGTCATCTTCACCGCCGCGGTTCGGTGAGCACAGTCGCTCATCGAGTCTACTACATCCCGCGTTGAGGAACTCCATCGACTTGGGGCAGTTGGATGAGAACGGTTCGCGGCGTGGTGGTTGAGGACGGAGTCATGAGGATTTGGGATCGTAGTCGCCGCCTTCTTGCCAAGGTATTCGAAGCGCAAATCGACTCTCACGCCCCTTAATGTGCGGTGGCACAACCCCTCTGTCTCGGCCGCTTCGTCGGGACGACGAGGCGTGATGCGGGCACGCAGCGTTCGGGCACCTTCACTTTGAGGCCCCTGGCGGCTCGGTGCCACGGAGATGGTGCGAGGCTCACCGTGCCTTGACCATGGGAGCGATTCACGACGTCTGCGTGTTGACGCGAAGAGGCGACTCCCCTTTCCCAATGCAGGCGAGCTTTCGAGCCAAGGAGAGGCTTGAGCTTGTGCATGGGGACTTGTGTGGCCGGTGACACCGGCCACACCGGAGGATGACGCTATTTTCGCCGCCGTCGACGACCTCTCCCGCTACATGTGGGTGATGGTCCTCGGCGGCAAAGGGAGAGGTCATGACGCCATATCGGTAGCGCAAGCAGTCGCCGCGGGAGGCGAGTCTGCGCCAAAAGCTGCAGCGTCACAAGACCGACAACGGCGGCGAATTCACGGCGGTGAATTCGCGTCAGACATACCGACGAGGGCATTGGCGCCACTACTCGCCGCTACCGACTGACCGCGCGCGAGAACGGCGTCGTCGAGCGGCGCAACCAAACGGTTGTGGGGATGGCTCGGGCCCTCCTCAAGCAGAGGGGGATGCCGGCTGTCTTTTGGGGAGAGGCGGTGGTGACGGCCATCTACATCCTCAACCGCTCGACGGCAGGACGTCGTACGAGGCTTGGCATGGGCGCAAGCCGGCGGTCTCCCACTTGCGGGTCTTCGGCTGCCTCGCGTTCGCCAAGGAGCTTGGCCACATCAAGCAAGCTCGACGGCGAGAGCACTCGGGAGTGTTCATCGGCTACGCGCGGAGGGCTCGAAGGCCTACCACATCCTCGACCAAGACACGCGGCAGCGCATGGCGCGACGCGTTGTGTTCGACGAAGGGTGAGGATGGGCGTGGGACAAGGCGGTGGACGACGGCTCGGCTCTGACGTACGACGACTTCACTATCGAGTACGTCCACTTCGAGGGAGCCGGGGAGTAGGCGGCTCTTCTTCGCCGAAGCGTCTACCCCAGCCCCCGAGCCTCCACCAACCCGGCGCTGCGCCATTCGGACAAAGACCACGCTCTCCGGCCAGACCTCGGCTGCGCGATGAGTTCTTCGCCGGCTCCACCACGGTAAGCAACGCCACACACTCCAAAGCACCGAGCAGCACCACTCCGCACGTCTACCCCACCACCGCCGTGTCGAGCACGGCACGGTTGAGGCTCGCCACTCCGCTCTCTCACGGCGAGGAGCGCGTTGACGCTGGCATACCATGACGGCGAGCCGTTGCGGTACCGTCTGTTGGAGAACCTTCTCGGCGACCCGGCCGGTGTCGGGGACCGGTGCCTCACGACCGAAGGCGCAGATTGCACCTTGCGTGTAGACGACGGCGAACCTCGGTCGTTTGAGAGGCCGAGACGCAGCGGCATGGCGCGCCGCGATGCGATTGGAGATGGATGCGGTTGACAAGAACCACACCTGGGAGCTTGCTGACCTTCCTCGTGGTCACCGCGCGATCACCCTTAAGTGGGTGTACAAGCTGAAGAGGGATGAAGCCGGTGCCATCGTCAAGCACAAGGCTCGCTTGGTGGCACGAGGCTTCGTGCGGCAAGAGGAGGGGTCGACTTCGACGACGCCTTTGCTCCTGGTGGCACGGATGGAGTCCGGCGACTCCTTGCACTAGCTGCCCGGAAGAAATTTGGCGTGTTCATCACATGGACGTCAAGTCGGCGTTCCTTAACGGCGACTTGAAGGAGGAGGTGTACGTGCACCAACCACCGGCGGGATTTGCGATCCCGGCAAGGAGGGCAGGTGCTCGCCGCGCAAAGCCCTCTATGGCTTTGGCGGCAGAACCGAGGCGCGGAATGCAAGTCGGATTTCACGCTAAAGGGGATGAGCTTCGAGCAAAGCCCGCACGAGGCGGCCATCTACCGACGGGGCAGTGGAGGAAATACTCTGCTGGTGGGTGTCTACGTCGACGACTTGGTGATCACCGGCACCAAGGATGCGGAGGTGGCGGCATTCAAGGAAAAGATGAAGGCCACCTTCCAGATGAGTGACCTGGGACCTCTCTCCTTCTACCTGGGGATCGAGGTGCACCAGGATGACTCCGGGATCACGCTTTGACAGACCACCTACGCCAAGCGCGTCGTTGAGCTATTTGGGCTCACCGACTGCAACCCAGCTCTCACTCCGATGGACGAGAGGTGAAGCTAAGCCGCGACAAAGACTGGCGGAGGAGGAGGTGGACGCTACGCAGTACCGGCGTCTTGTGGGGAGCCTTCGCTACCTCGCCCACACACGACCGGACACGGCATTCTTCGTCGCTCACGTTAGTCGGTTCATGCAATGACCGACAACGGAGCACCAAAGCAGTCGTGGAAGAGGATCATCCGCCACGCTATGGGACTCTCGACCACGGCCTTTACTACCCTAGGTGCCCTGGGCGGCACGCCGTCGAATGCACAATGACAAGCGACCACGCCGGCGACATCGACACCAAAGAAGAGCACGAGTGGGATCCTCTTCTTCCTCGGCAAGTGCCTCGTTAGTTGGCGATCGGTCAAGCGGCAGTGGTGGCCCTGTCGGTGCGAGGCCAAGTACATAGCGGCCTCCACCGCTTCAACTCAGGCGCTCTGGCTCGCTCGACTGCTTGATGATCTCCTCGGCAGAGACACTAGAGCGGTGGAGCTCAGGGTGGACAGCAAGTCCGCTCTGGCCCTGGCAAAGAACCCCGTCTTCCACGAACGCAGCAAGCACATCCGGGTGAGGTACCACTTCATCCGAGGCTGTTTTGAGGAAGGGAGCATCAAGGCGAGCTACATCAACACCAAGGACCAGCTTGCGGACCTGCTCACCAAGCCCCTTGGGAGGATCAAGTTCCTTGAGCTCTGCTCCAGGACCGGGATGGTTCAACTTCCCCACAAGACGACGCACAAGACTTAGGGGGAGAATGATGGATAAGTCTCTGTGTTGTGTTGGCTGGTCTGATCTTTGTGGGGCTGCTAGCTGTTGCTGTACTGCTGCCACAAGGACTGTGGGGCTGCTGGCTGTTTCTGTGCTGCCACAAGGACTGTTGGCTGTTGCTGCCACAAGGACAACATTCTTGACTGGCTAGGACAGCATCTTAGCATCTAGGATTAGCATCTAGGACAGCATCTTAGCATCTTAGATTAGCATCTTGGCATATGCTTGGCTGGCTAGCAGCCTATAAATATGTATCCCCAACCCCTCAGGTTGGCATGGCATTTGTGTGAGTTTGTGTGAGAAATAAACCAGAAAATTGCCCCAACTTCTAGTGTCATCCTCTCTCGATGAGAGTAAGAATTCTGCTACTACCGAGAGTGAGAGTTCAACGACTAACAATAAGACCACACCCGCACACAGAAAATTCTAAGATTACATTTGCGCCCTTGGCTACTAAATTAATGACTTTGACCTATGCATACCCTTACTCCGGTGCAAGGGCAAGCAGGTAGGAGATACCTTGAGTCACATCCGTACCCCATAGTTGCAAATCCTCACTAACAAAGACAAGCGATCCAGCAAGATTAGGAGAAATACCATAAAAACACATCAATTCCGATTTTTCCAGATCTACCGGTCCTGAGATGACAAGGGAATTAAGCCCTTTTGGGGTTTGACCATTAACTGTATCATTTATCCTTGCCAACCAATCATCAAAGGAAGTATCTCCAAAAGCTGTGGCCAACCTTTTGTAGCAGCAAGAACCAGAATTTAGTAAATGCTGAATTGTTCCTTCGCCTTCATCACAGAGGGGACATCTAACAGTTAAGAAGAATTAACCAGCGATAATATAAGGCATTATTGCTGGTTAATTCTTTGTACCAGTCTAATCAAGAAGTACCTGAAGCAATAAAGTTAAACTTGTGTCCTAAAAGTGTACTTCCTGTTTTCTGAGAATCCATGATAACTTTGTGACCTCTGTTTCAATTGGTTGGAGTTTGACCAAGTTTGCTTTTGCTGACACATACTCAGGCTAGGATACTTCAGCAGACAGCACCTACTTTTCAAGAAATGCACCCACATGAGCAAAGTTCAGGCATGGAAACATGGATTCCACAACAACAACCAGCAGTGCTACAAGGGACAGAAGAGGAACCAACGTCTTATGAATCAGATGCTACTGCTGGTCAGGAGCCAGAGACCCTAACTGCAGCTGACTACCTGCATGAACTGGACCAGCTCCGGCCAAAATCCAGCGATGTTGACAAAATGAGCTTGCAGGATGGAGATGCATCCTGTCTTGCCACGTGCAGTACAGGAGACATTGAAGATGATCCATTCCGAGCCTCCTACTCATACAATGTAGAAGGCATAGGTGAAGATTCTGGTGTCTTCACTTCTTGTGTTGGTACTAGGTGGTTCAGGGCTCCTGAGCTTTTATATGGGTCAACAAACTATGGGCTAGAGATTGATCTCTGGTCGCTTGGATGCATTTTGGCAGAACTTCTGAAATTAGAGCCTTTGTTCTCAGGGATATCGGATATTGATCAGATTAGTAGAATCATCAATGTCCTGGGTGATATAACAGAAGAAACCTTTCCAGGCTGTTCAAACTTGCCAGATTACAACAAGATTTTCTTTAACAAAGTTGGGAAACCGACAGGCCTTGAAGCATGTCTGCCTAACAGATCTCCTACTGAGGTTAGCATCATAAAGCAGCTAATTTGCTATGACACAACAAAGAGGGTCAGTGCTGCTGACCTGTTGACTCATCGGTACTTTACGGAAGAGCCCTTGCCGGCACCTATAGAAGGATTACAAGTCCCGGCATCAAAGGATGAGGATGATGACAGCTCAATGGAAGAATGGGGTAATTACAGGGATGGTGTCTCGGATTCAGACTTTGATGAGTTTGGTAGTATGGATGTCACCAAAACTGACAAGGGTTTCAGCATACGCTTTTCGTGATAAAGAAAGACATAGGGATCATGCATGTCATGTCCAATGTAAGACCATAGGTATGTATCTACTCTGGAGTTGAAATTGCTGTCAGCGTAGATGAACTTCAGTAAGCGATCAAAGATTGGGCAATGTTGCGTTGGGTTTTACATTTTCTTTTAGTTCTTATGGAACTTTGTGATTCTTTGTACGACAGAACCAGTTTTCCCCCTGGCAAGAATAAAACTGTGGTAATCCAGTATAAAAAAAAACTGCGGTAATCTAAAGTTCTGATAGAAATTTCCATTATGGCAATTGGAAGGACTGTAATCGAAAGTAAAATACACATCATATAACTTTGAAGTCCTTTCATGCCATGAACAATAATGAGATTTGAGATTAAAATGCTTTGAAGCTTAGATGCTCCGATAATTATACATTGTAGCAGCAAGAAAAATCCACAAAACTCTTACTATACGAGTTCTTGTTCTAAAAGTAGTAAAATCATATGCATGCTAATTTAAACAAACACCTCAAGTCATGCTAGATTCTGAACTTAACATGATGGGGAAAAATTAAATTGTTTTGAAGCAAAATTCACGTCTATTCACTTATGGAGACATATCATGTAAACGGTTCAGGAGCTTCGTAATTATTTATTGAGGCCCTTTCTTTTAAAACCTCTCTTAAAAAAAGGCCCCTATCGAGGACGTGTGTGGGTGCTGATAGTCACGTCGGGTGGGCAGGGCCAGCCACGCCGCTGTCGCTCAAGTGAGCAGCCGGCCGCCCGCGCCGGGCCGGCCATGGGACGGCCAGGCCAGACACGCAGCCGCCTAGCGAGCAAGAACGTGGGCGGGTGGTTGCGCCGGGCAACCACGCCGTCGACGTGCGCGCGTGTCAGGCTGTCAGCCACGCCGCGACCGTGCGAGCAGGCAGGCGGCCGCATCGAGCCGCCACGCCGCTGCTGCCCAACTCCTACTCGCTGCCGCTCGCCTCGCCTCCGCCATACATGCCCACGCGCTCCACCTAGTCTCCACGCCCACCCGGACGTCCCTGGCCAGGTCATCGCTGCCTACACCAAGCTTAGTCGCGTAGCCGAGGCCCGCCACATGTTCGACGCTCATCTCCGCGTACTCCATCGGGTGCGACCCCGACAGGGTACGGCCGCGTTTGCGCGCATGGTAGTGGCTGGGGCGCTCGAACGCCATGACGTGGACCACATTGCTCTCTGCGCACACGAGGTACTAGAGACACTCGGAGGCTCTTTGACTTCATGGATACTAGAAAAGGAAGCGCGCTTCAAGGCGCCCTACCAAGAAAATTCAACTTTAGTTCCTTTAACGATCTTTCATAGAACCAGAACATGACCATTATTGATCATAATTTTGTATTATTGTTTAAATAATTCAGTGGTCATTTGGTTCTTTTTTGTGTGGAAGTGGGATGAGATAAATGTGACCAAAACTATAAAAAAAAAGATTAATCGTACCAGAGATAGATTATAACAATACTCATTTTCTACACACACACAAAAACAGAAGCTCATCTTCTGTACAAACATATATGTGTAGGAACATCATACACGACTATCACTATCGAAGTCCAGAACATATGCACAGTTGACTACTCCCTCCATTTCATAACAGAAATCCACAGCCGATATCCATGCACAAACCATCATGGAGGCACCAAGTCTAATGAAAAATGGATGATAAATGACAACATATGCCCCTGCTCAATTTGTGCTTATTTCCAGCCCGCTCCCACCTTACCCATGCATGTCCTCACACGCTTTTCAAGTGCCGATGTCACGTCGGAACTAGCACACTGGCAAAGCCACGTCATCTAAAATGCGCGGACAAACTATGAGGTTTCAGAGTTCGTGAACTATGTGGCACATCCTGTCAAGTTCATGGACTCTTGTTGCATTCAACTTTTGATAGAATCAAATCATAAAATTGCAAGAAGACTAAATCAACTTGTTTTTTTCCGCACCATAAGGAACAATGTTACTTACGCATGATACCACCTTAAAACCATAGTACAAATCGTTGAGCCCTATGATAAGACACCAATAATTTATTATACATAGAGTGAATTGCAGGGTAAACTTTCATCTTATATATGCTTGGCCCATATTGCACACACATGATTTTGTTGGGCAGCTGCATGTATAGGATAACAGGAAGTCAGGAACAGCTGTATTATGTGTAGTTCTGGATTATCTTTGACAGGGATGAGTATGTTCCCACGCAGGCACAGCAAACCCCGACAGCTATGATGAACGAGCAAGCTGCTATCTGTGAATCAAACAGATCCGGTCAGTAGAATGCATAATTCTACATGTCATAGTGTGTCTAGTGTGCACTGATAATCAGTAGCATGTCTATTTATATAACAAAAACATTTGTAGGGTATGTGCATCCTGAGGTCGAGAGTGATTTCAAGATGATTGTATCATCTTACGGCCTGTTTGTTTCTGTGGAATTGAATCTTATTTCAAGAATCAAGAATCAAATTCCGTCTCAGATCTTAATTGAAGTGTTATTGTGGTGAGAGCTTGATGGCAGCAGTGAGATTCCCCACACAAGGATCTTTTTGTGTCCGGACTCGCGAGAGAAGAGTGGAGACGAATATTGGGCCATGCGGGCAACGGTGAATCTCGCTTTGTATTTCTTAGTCTCTTTCAATGTCTTGCCCTCTGAATTTGATACAGGCCTGTACTTAACATTTGGAAAGTGGTGGAATATCAATTCTAAGCCAAAAAGCCTAGTTCATGAAGTAGATTTCAATTTATCCCAAATGAAAGGATCCAAACAGGCCATTAATGTAATTGTCTTGATATCAATAGAAGTTCTTTTTATAGAAAAAAAGGATGCATGATTCTCTAAACCTTGCTGATATTACCAGTTCTAACTGGGGCCTGTTTCAGTGAAATCATGTTCATAAGAATATGATAATGTCTTCTGCTCAATCTTTAGCTTCCTTGTTTCACTTAAGTTATCACTAAAGCACTGCTTACAAACTTGAAAGAATAGAACACAGGATTGGAAATATTTGCATAATTTTCATACCTGATGCCACTCCACTTTAGTCTTGAGGATTGCCAAAAAACACGCGCAAGGCAGAATATAGGTCTACAACAAAAACATATTTGAGACTCACCAATTTGTAAGCTAGGATATCTGAACTAAACATGAAAATCTTACCACAAGCATGGCAAACAAGGAACCAACCAAGGCCATCACAAGTCCTATCAAAAGGTAAGACGCAAATGATTAGGATCGTATCACGGTTGGAGATCTTTGTAGGATTAAATACTATGCACTTACCAAAGAAAGGCACAGATAGAGCAATCAGGAGGGTTGACATCACCAGAGATGATCTAAGCATGATTATTGTAGAATACTTTTGTTGGTTTGGTGGCAGCAACTCTTCCAAACTCATAGCCAATGGAATAATAGTTAATGCATATGTATTTATTCATTAAGGAAAGTAAGAGAACAATATTGCAATGTTCTGAGGACGTAGTAAAACATGTATGGTCTCCTCAAAGGAAAGAAGAACCATAGTGTATTTTAGAGGAGCTTGGGCGAAGTGTTTCAGCACGATTTCCAGCGTACCCTTTTTACTTTTTAATCCAAGTATCTAACCAACTCTATGTACTAAAATATATTTGCACATAAAAAACATTTCTTCCATTTCTTTATGAGACTAACAATTGGCACACCAAGGATATTTGGTTATTGGATTTGCCACCTGCAGTAAGCATCGAGAGATGATTAATTATTATTAAACAACAGGGTCAGGCCCCTGTCTTACTACCTCTGTCTCAAAATAAATCAGTTCCTAGGATCACCCCAAGTTAAACTATCTTAAGTTTGACTAACTTTATATGAAACAGTAATAACATCCATGACACCAAATAAGTATATTATGAAAATATATTTCGCACTGTATCCAGTGATACTAATTTGGTGTCATAAATATTGGTGTTCTTTTCTATAAAGTTGATCAAACTTAAAATAGTTTGACTTAGGACAACTTTAGAAGTTGATTTAATTTGAGACGGATGGAGTAAAAGGGGAATTTGAAATGGTTTAGGAAGCAACAATTACCGTTGTCCAAACAGCAACCTTAGAAATGAGGGAATTATCTGGTAAGTTGAGTGTGAATTGGGACTCTGTGACTTCACCAAACATTTTGTATCCCATCACTGCAGCACCAGCATACAAAAAGGTAGACAGCCCAATGCTGACAAGAAACAGAAAACAGATGTGAGTGCTGCATTTCCAACATCAATAATTATTGAATTTGCATTAGTGTGGGGTCATCTCGATTAAAATGATTACCATGTAAAAAGAATTGAAGGAAACTGGTTGCGATTCTTCAGAGAGGAATATATGTTTGGAAATACCCCATGCCCTGAGTAGCAGTAACCATATAATCCAATTGCAATAGGAATTCCTGGGAGGTTCAGTGCAGTCCCTTCGTTCTCAAAGCCGACATTATTGACAACCCCAACCAAGAACAGGCAGATGACCACAAGGATTGATGCAATGACACCCCCAGCTGCAGACACATCAACATTGCTAGCATCAATATAGTGTGCAATACATGCATTGGGTACATGATCTATAGCAACAACAAGGCCACGCAGAATGAGTTTAAAAAAACAAGAATGAGAAGCAGGCAAAATGAGACCTGAAATGTAGCTCAAACAGCTCAGGTCACGGAGCCAGGTGGTTGGCATGACTATGATGGTAGTCAAGATTGCAAAAAATACATGTGAGTTCAGCGTCAGGCTCCCAATGGTCAGGTGTGCAGTGGGGAATAATTTTGACAAATTGTCACTCTCCAATATCAAATACTCGATGCAACATGCCTGTCCAATACATTAGGACCAAGTAATATCGTTACACTTCAAAAAGCAAGAAACAAATAGGGTGTTTGGTTCGACTTAGCAATCCTCACTTTTTTGTTTGGTTTGTGGAATGGAATGAGTTGATCCATCATCACCTCATTCCTCACAAGCTAAAAATTAGTACTAGTATGAGGAATGCAATCATTCGACCAAATTTGAGGAATAAACTCATGATGCATCACCTAATCTAGAATGGGGTGATTCCTCAAACACCCTAAAAATGTTTTGTATAGGACATGCAAGTGATGGTCCCCAAACTCATTTAATTCTGATTGAAATAGAAGGTCAGTATGGATACTTACATACAATTCCACATACAGTATTATCTTCAACAGTGAAGCCACAAACAAGGAACAAAACTAGTCAGCACATAACTCATCCATTGACCATTGTACTAAAATGTGCAGAAAATTAAAGGCACAGTTAAATGTGCTATCATAATCTGAAGCAGATTTACCGAGATAACTATGCGACCTGTGCTGCCAAAGGCTGCATGGCCGATATCTGGGTATGTCTCGAGGCCCTCCTTGCTGTCCAGGCAATGGCGCAGGAGCACGCCAGTGTACCATGCAAGCAATGCAAATAAACAGAGTATCAACAGCCCAATCCAACCCCCTTGTTTGATGGCATAAGGTGTTGATAGGATTCCCACGCCACATAGAACATTTATTCCTGCATAAAAGCGAATTGCACACCCAACGTGAAAACTAGAGAATTTTCTCATTAAGAATTCAAAGGCCTAGCTAAGCTTCGATATTTTGTTACAGGTGTTGATAGGATTCCCACGTCACATAGAACATTTATTCCTGCATAAAAGCGAATTGCACACCCAACGTGAAAACTAGAGAATTTTCTCATTAAGAATTCAAAGGCCTAGCTAAGCTTTGGTATTTTGTTAAAGCACTCAGGTTAGATAACCACTAGTAAAGAAATTTCAAATACTACCATCCGAATAATTTCTTCTGTTTTTGGTATTACTGATTGAACTTAATAAATTACACGTAGTAAAACTTCATCGGAACATTTGATGATATATTTACAATTCTGAATAATTTGGCAATTTATGGTTAGATTGATATGAATATACTAAATCATAGGCCTATCAATCTATATGCCCAAACCATAGGTTAGGGTATCGAACTTATTTTACTATTTTTTTGGAAAACCGAACTAATTTTACTATTATTACTACAAACTAAAACCTTTTTATTCTTTCTATTGGTGGCTCCATTTCCAACTAACCCAAACTTACTTGAAACTAAAAGGCTTTGTCGTCATCTTTATTATTGTTTGTCCTCAAGGAAAAGTACAGAATGCATCTATTTGTGTAACCACTACCAGATGGTTGTGCTGACTCATCAACCACGTGATGTTCCCATCCATGTGGGGACTGGGGAGGAAGAAGAAAAATCGAACCGGTGGACATGTGATGCGGCAAATCAACAAAGAGAGGATAGAGTTATTAAAAACCCCTAGTCGATAATTGGCTGCACTTGATGCTTCACAACTAATTGGAAACATGAAACTGAAACAGTGAATGTGTGATGTCAGTCTCATGTCTAGATGCAGAATCAGTACACTGTTTCAGTTTGGCATTATAATTTAGGTCTGTGTAAACTAATACTAGAATCCATTAAAATAAAATACCACAGTGGATATAAATGTCTAGATGCAGAATCAAGTACACTGAACTTGGACATTTGATCTGTGTGGAATGCGTCTAGGTTCAGTAGAGCTGGCATCACCAATGGCATATCACGAGAATATTCTGCAATATTGATGATTGGAGGGGGGTCTACCCCGAAATTTAAAAAAAAAACAGCAAAATAACCTCAGGACATCAGTCATTTGAGCTAAACGCCATTTTCACATTCCTTGCCAACGTTGGTGAGCATCACAGAATAATAAAGCAGTTGTGCTTACCATTCATCACTCCCTGGGTGTAAGAGCAATTTCGATTATGAGACGCCTCATGACCAACTATCAGTGGCTTTTGATCCTCAGGGATTTGTTGCAAAGATGATTTCCTTGAGGGCATAATGTGCTGAGAACTCTTTCGGGTATCTTCATGTTGCTGCTGCTGCTCATCACTTGATGTGGGGCCAAGAAGTGGCTTGATAAAGTTTGAGATTGTTTCAGGGGCTTTGCCCCGAAAAGAATCGGTGATGGCAAGGAAAGAGTTTGACAGTCTGCTCAGAGTTGGAGTCCCCAAAAAGCTCAGATTGGGTGAGTGCACGCTACTAAGAATGTCAATCGATTGCCTGTCAAAGGAGAGCAAGAAAAAAAAAACAGACATATAACTATTAAGGACATTCCCTGTGGTCTATTATATACAGTAATTTATAAAAGCCTAGGATCAAAGAAAGCATGCAAAAGAATCAAATCATTTTCTTGAACAACCAGTTCTTTCATTAAATTCAACAAATCATTTTCTTGGAAAAAAACATTTAAGGTCTACAGATTCTTCAAGGTGGTATAATTGCAAGCCAAATTACTGGGCAAGGCCAACTCCATGTTAATTAATTGAATAGGAAATAATTGATTGTATGGTTGGCACATGAGCTGTACGTGCAGACAGTCAGACAGAGATGTCAGGGTTGATTGGTGTGCCTGCAATGCAACTTGATTCTAGAGAAAGGACGATAGGTGTGCCCGCTTGCTTGACAGACTTTGCCGGCCCTGGCCCAGCCAGCAACGAAACACATCGCAAGGATCCCGTCATGGTGGTAATGGATATGAATCATCAGTACAGTATTCTATCACGGGACACATGTTTGTTTGTTCGACTAGCTAGTGTCCTATCAGTATGGAAATGGAACTATGGATGATGGATCTGCAGCTACCAGTTAACAGAACTGAAGCTGCGGGAGGATGATGAGAAAAAGAAAATGAAGCAGCGGCTCAGAGAATCGAAATTGAGGATGCCAAAAGAACACACAGCAGCAGCACTACGCCGCAGCGTATTCGACTTCGCCCCAGGTGCTCGCGGCAGCGTAACTTGAGACCGAGGAACCACGGATATATAAGATAAGATGATACGTATACGGGCAGGCCGGCAACTACTAGAGATTCTTCTTCTGCCATGGAGGAGGGAGGAGGAACCGACGTGACCTGTAACTCTGCGGCCATTGCTGGGTGTAGGCGGGGGAGCTTGGGCCGCGGCGTGGGGTGGCGCAGGATGAGGACGACGAGGAGGAGTCGGAGTCCGAACCCGGCTCCTGCTCCGGCTCCTCCTCGCCGTGGCCGTGTCCTGTCCAGTTGGTGGCGAGAGCGGATTGGGTGTCGTCGTCGTCATCGCTCTCGATGATGAGGCTACGCTCCGGCACCGGGCTCCTCATCTCCCACTCACTCTGCCTTCGTCTCCTCAAAAGTCTGCTTCTCTTCGAAACAAGTACCCAAAACGAATAAACCTCCGTTGTACTATATACACCCATCTCACCACCAATATATCCGTAATTTTTTTTAATTTTAACACTTTTTATAAACTAATTTTAAATCTAACACTGTTTTTTTTTCCAAAACTAACATTTTTTTGCCACGCCTATTGCCATGGCGCGGTAAAACGCCTGTGCCGCGCCATGCATGGTGACGCGGCTAGTGGATGACGTGGCGACGATCGGGGCTGCTCACCGGTGACTTGGCAGGGCTTGCCGCGCCACATATCTTGGCGCGACACTGACGCGCTCTGATCGGTGACGCGGCAGCGCCGGGTACCCCTGCCGCATGCATGCCTGCACTTGCACACACAGCAATGTAACGTCAAATCAAGTCCAATCCAAACCCGGGCTACCATGCTATCATGCTATACACACGGCAGTGCATAGCTGTGCTTCCTACTGGTGCCACTATCATGCTATACTACGCCTCTACTAGTATGCCTGCCCATGCTGCTGGCCTACGTACTGTATGTAGACGGCGGGACCTCCCTTCCCTTCTACGCTCGATCTATCCACCTCAATCCGTGTTTTGTACTACTACTAGTAGATTGAGCTATCAATTATTTATTTTTATATTCTATTCTAATCAACTTCAAAACTACACATGGTCAGACAGAAATAGTGTAGCCAAATGGATAGAGTGATAGACTCGTTGGTTGGACATTGATTTCTTTTTTGCCACATATAAATCTGGATTCGAATATTGGAATACGAATGCAAAACAAATAAAAGTTTGATACATATGGTAGCATCCGGATATCTAATAAAAAATTAAAAGAATATAAATAAATAACTATTTGAATCAAATATAAAACATTCATAAGGAAACAAATACAAAAGTATGGATGCAAAAATATTAGTCAACAGCAAAAAAAAATGAATCAATATATGTAAAATTTAAGAAAAAATAATAAAATAATGAATCGATATACTAAACTTTATAACAACAAATATAAACTAAATCAAGTCAACATTGAAATAAACTTAGTATCTATATCTCAATATTCGTCCAACCGGAAGGCAGCGGTTTCCATGCAATAGGCAATCAGAAGGCAACGGTTTTCATGCAAAAGGCAACCAGAAACCGCTCCATATCCGTTTCCATGCAATAGGCAGCGGTTTCCGATTGGACGTAGTAGTACATGGCACACGCACATGCGCGCTGGTCACAGATTGAATAGGCGCGGGAGAAAATTCATTCACACCCAGAAGCATCAAGCACGGGAGTACGAGTAGGCCAGTACCATGGGGTCCTTAAGAGTACTAGGGTGAAAACAGATATCAAGATGTTTACCCGTCTTGTCTAAATTTATATTCGACAAATCTTAAATTTGGATATCTGTATATTTTGCATATATTTTTGGTATAGAATATAGATGCTGAAATGGATATGTCCCGATTTATTCTACATAACTTTTCTCTCTCTCTATCCAATTTTAGTTTCATATTAAAGAAACCCAAAATATCCAACGATAATGAATATGATGAAACTATTTAGAAAGTATGATGACATATGATTAATGACTAGTGCTATAAAATTTAATATTGAGATATAGATACTAAGTTTATTTCAATGTTGATTTGATTTAGTTTATATTTGTTGTTATAAAATTTACGTATATTGATTCATTATTTTATTATTTTTTCTTAAATTTTACATATATTGATTCATTATTGTTTTTTTGTTGTTGACTAATATTTTTGCATCCATACTTTTATATTAGTTTCCTTATGAATGTTTTATATTTGATTGAAATAGTTATTTATTTATATTCTTTTAATTTTTTATTAGATATCCGGATGCTACCATATGTATCCAATTTTTATTTGTTTTGCATTCGTGTTCCAATATTCGAATCCAGATTTATATGTGGCAAAAAAAAATCAATGTCTAACCAACAAGTCTATCATTTTAGCTACACTATTTTATATCTGACCGTGTGTAGTTTTGAAGTTGATTAGAATAGAATATAAAAATAAATAATTGATAGCTCAATCTACTAATAGTAGTACAAAACATGGATTGAGGTGGATAGATCAAGCGCAGAAGGGTACATACAGTACGTAGGCCAGTAGCATGGAGCAGGCATACTAGTAGAGGCGTAGTATAGCATGATAGTGGCACGAGTAGGAAGCACAGCTATGCACTGCCGTGTGTATAGCATGATAGCATGGTAGCCTAGGTTTGGATTGGACTTGATTTGACGTTGCATTGCCGTGTGTGCAGGTGTAGGCATGCATGAGGTAGGGGTACCCAGCGCTGCCGCGCCACCGATCAGGGCGCGTCAGTTCCGCGTCAAGATATGTGGCGCGGCAGGCCCTGCCACGTCACCGATCAGCAGCTCTGGTCGTCGCCACGTCATCCACCAGCTGCGCCACCATGCATGGTGCAGCACAAGCATTTCGTCGCGCCATGACAATAGGCGCGGCCAAAAGTGTTAGTTTTGAAAAAAAAAAAAAACAGTGTTAGATTTAAAATTAGTTTTAAAAATGTTAAAATAAAAAAAAACAGGTTAAGGGTGTGTTTGGCGGCTATTTTTTTAAGCTTCACCTCCTGCTACACCCCTACTGGTCACTTTGGATCCATTAGCTGTTAGTATTAGTTTGGTCCAACTAATAAAATAGTTGTTAGTTGGATACTCATTAACAATTAACTAAACTATTTGCTACTTCCTCCATCCTAAATTATAAATCATTCCAAAAATCTTGGAGAATCACAACATCTCAAGTTTGACTAAAGTATGACTAAAGTTTGACTAAATTTATATATAAGATAATAACATTTATGATACCAACTAAATATCATTACGTTCTTTATTAATTATACTTTCATGGTATATCTATTTGATGTTATAAATCTTAGTAATTTGTTTATATAATTTTAGTCAAATTTGAGATGCTTTGACTCTCTAAGATTCTTGGAATGACTTATAATTTGGAATGGAGGGAGTAGACCTATTTGGTCCAAAGAGATAATTATTTTTTTGCGAGACCCAGTTATATACGCAAACACTCACCCCTGAAAGAATAGCGTTGTTAAATCCTAGAATAAATCCATGAAAATACGATCACCCATGTCAAGTCGGGGACTTGAACCCAGGTGGGTATGTTCCACCACAAGAAACCCAACCAGTTGAGCTACGCTCAGTTCACCAAGGAGATAATTATTAGCGACTAACTATTATCTTCTTGATCCAAATAGGGCCTTAGCAGCATTTTTCATAGAAGTCATTTTTCTCTCCTGCCAAAATAGCTCCTGCTCCTTACAACTCCTACAAAATGTTTGGTAGGGCTCTACCTGAGGAGCCAGAGCCAGAGCTGAGGAGAAGCCCTACCAAATAGACCCTTATCTGCATTTTTCATAGAATCCATTTTTCTCTCTCATGCCGAAATGAACTAAGAAGCTAAAGAAGCCTTGATTTATGGCTTCCTTGACTCTAGCTCTTCCGGTACTATAGCGCGAAGCTAGATGTGAAGGAGCCTAGCCTAACAAGGCCTAGGCCGTAAGGATTCGTCGTGTTCAGTTGCCACCCCAGAAGGAAGAACAAGGGGATGAATCCTACTTCCATTGCTTATTGCTGAAGAACTATTTGAGGTCTATAATATCACATGAGAGGTTAAATGGATTGGCAACACTATGCATTGAGAAGCGATTGTTGGATAAGATTAATTAATATTGACACCATCATCGATGACTTCGCATCGAGGAATGTTATAAGAAATTTTTGAGGCAATTTAATATATATACAAATTATTTCATATGAATATTGTTTTTCCATTTAGTTAACTATTTATTAGTAATATTTCATATATGTGTGTATAGTTATCATGTTCATATAAAAAGGCCCAAAATTTTAGTTTCATTCTCAAAATGATCGGACCGGCCTTGTGTAAAATTGCATTAAGAAGAACATAAAGTTACACTACCTTATGATGTTTCTCTAAGAGCGTCGGAGGAACTCAGAAGAAGACTGCTGTGGCAGAACCGTCCAAAATAACACACTTATGGAGGCGCTTGTCTTCTACTAGACACTAAGCACGCCGAAGGTTTTACTACATCAGGCAGTTCTGTTGAGCACACCCCATGTGAGAACCCAAAAATCCATATTTTTCAATAGGATTATAAATGGGAGAATAAAGCTTACAATATTTTAACCATTTCTTACATCACTATCCGTGCAACAGAGTATAATATTTATTGTTTATAACAGTGAAATATAACCATGTTATCAGAGTTTCAGCGAAAATAAAATCATTTAATGACATGTCAAATATTAACATGATGATCCGTTATATACATCATAACAAGTTATAAGTTTTTTCCATTGTAAAACATTTTGGGTGGAAGTTTCAAATAAACTCTATGTCCGCAACATTAAGAAAATCCTCGATGAGCCCACTAGGAGGTTTCCACACACAAGTGTCAGCTCCACATACTTCTATCACCTACAACAGGGTAGAACAAACCCTTAGTACTCAATTATACTTCGCAAGGCTTACCCGTCAGGAGAAAAGAAAATACTCCAAGGATATGCAAGGCTATCTGGCTTGTGGGTTATTACATCTACGGAAGCATTACTAAACGTGTGTCCTTATATTAAATTTTATTAGCAGTCATCATTAGTCCATTACTAACCATTCTATGTAAGCACATGTGCTACTTTCAAGCAAGTGGTAAGCAATCAGAACTATTTTACCATCTTTTATATTCCAGTTCTTACTACGGTGCTAGATCGTAGCCAAGTCATACCGTATAACACGACGTTTCGCAAACCAATGTATCCCAGCTAGGTATCCCGAAACACACGTCCCGCTTGTACCCCAGACACAAGCAGGACCAACCCACCACTCTTCTTTCAAGGGGTCCAGGTCTTCGTCCAAACTTGGACTCCAAGCCCCCA